ATTTGAAATATAAGGGCATTATATTGTTATAAATTTATGCACTCAATCCCTATAATTGACAAAATTTTCTTGGCTGAGCTGCTAACTACAAAAATTATATTTCAAGCCAACCAATGGTCGTTTGCAACAAGAAGGTTTCGAACCTACGCTGCCATAGAGAATCTGATTTCTAGTCAGACACCTTAACCGACAGACCAGGGTTAAATCTGTTTGAAAGTAGAACTATTTCTGGTGATGTGCCATTTGAAATATAAGGGCAATACATTGTTAAAAATTTATGCACTCAATCCCCATAATTGACAAAATTTTCTTGGCTGAGCTGCTAATTACAAAAATTATATTTCAATCAAAACAATGGTCGTTTGCAGCAAGTAGGTTTCGAACCTACGCTGCCATAGAGAATCTGATTTCTAGTCAGAAGCCTTAACCGACAGACCAGGGCTAAATCTGTTTGAAAGTAGAACTATTTCTGGTGATGTGCCATTTGAAATATAAGGGCAATACATTGTTAAAAATTTATGCACTCAATCCCCATAATTGACAAAATTTTCTTGGCTGAGCTGCTAATTACAAAAATTATATTTCAAGCAAAACAATGGTCGTTTGCAGCAAGTAGGTTTCGAACCTACGCTGCCATAGAGAATCTGATTTCTAGTCAGAAGCCTTAACCGACAGACCAGGGCTAAATGTGTTTGAAAGTAGAACTATTTCTGGTGATGTGCCATGCGTTGAAATATAAGTAAATTATATTTTTATAAATTTATGTACTCAATCCCCATATTTGAGAAAAATTTCTGGGCTGAGCTGTTAATTAAAAAATTTATATTTCAAGCAAAACAATTTCCGTTTGCAGTAGGTAGGTTTCGAAATTACGCTTCCATAGAGAATCGGATTTCTAGTCAGACGCCTTAACTGACAGACCAGGGCTAAATCTGTTGGAAAGTAGAACTATTTCTGGTGATGTGCCATTTGAAATATAAGGGCATTATATTGTTTTAAATGTAAGCACTCAATCCACATAATTGACAAAATTTTCTGGACTGAGCTGCTAATTACAAAAATTATATTTCAAGCAAAACAAATGGTCGTTTGCAGCAGGTAGGTTTCGTACCTACGCTGCCATGGAGAATCTGATTTCTAGTCAGACGCCTTAACCGACAGACCAGGGCTAAATCTGTTTGAAAGTCGAACTATTTCTGGTGATGTGCCATGCGTTGAAATATAAGTCCATTATATTTTTATAAATTTATGTACTCAATCCCCATATTTAAGAAAAATTTCTGGGCTGAGCTGTTAATTAAAAAATATATATTTCAAGCAAAACAATGGCCGTTTGCAGTGGGTAGGTTTCGAACCTATGCTGCCATGGTGAATCTGATTTCTAGTCAGACGCCTTAACCGACACACCCAGGCTAAATCTGTATGAAAGGCGAACTATTTCTTGTGATGTGCCATGCGTTGAAATATAAGTAAATTATATTTTTATAAATTTATGTACTCAATCCCCATATTTGAGAAAAATTTCTGATCTGATCTGTTAAGTAAAAACTATATATTTCAAGCAAAACAATGGTCGTTTGCAGTAGGTAGGTTTCGAACCTACGCTGCCATAGAGAATCTGATTTCTAGTCAGACGCCTTGACCGACAGACCAGGGCTAAATCTGTTTGAAAGTAGAACTATTTCTGGTGATGTGCCATTCGAAATATAAGGGATTATATTGTTTTAAATTTATGAACTCAATGCCCATAATTGACAAAATTTTCTGGGATAAGCTGCTATTTACGAAAATTATATTTCAAGCTAATAAATGGTCGTTTGCAGTAGGTAGGTTTCGAACTTATGCTAATTAAGAATCTGATTTATAGTCAGACGCCGTAACCGACAGACCCAGGCTAAATCTGTTTGAAAGTCGAACTATTTCTGGTGATGTGCCATTTGAAATATAAGGGCAATACATTGTTAAAAATTTATGCACTCAATCCCCATAATTGACAAAATTTTCTGGACTGAGCTGCTAATTACAAAAATTATATTTCAAGCAAAATAATGGTCATCAAAGATGTTATGCTTTCACGACCAGAAACTACATTACTAAATATTTCCGGGCTTTTGAGCCGTGGTCCCGAGATTAAACTCGACGTTTCGTCTACAACTGCGGAAGACATTTTCAAGAGCGGCGATGCGGTAACGGTCGAAGTGTTCTTCCGTACTGCTCTCCGATGACTGGTTGGTTGACTGGAAGATCTGCCGTATTTAAGCGCGCTGTAGTGGGCGTGACTTCGGTGGCGGGCTTGGGTTGAGCTTGTCTGGGTAAACACGTTGTTTTGTTGATGACCTGAGTCCATGTTTTACTGATATTGAGACCTTCTTCTTTTCTATTGAAATTATTTTTATGTTTTTGAATTTCAATAGCTTCTCTGATAAGACGTGGATAAAAATGTGGTGTTTTGTCCAGTACCTGCGTGTCTTTGAACATGATACGATGGTCACCTTTGTAAAAAGCATGTTCTGCCACTGCTGATTTTTCCGTGTGTCCAAGCCGGAGAATCTGATTTCTAGTCAGACGCCTTAACCGACAGACCAGGGCTAAATCTGTTTGAAAGTAGAACTATTTCTGGTGATGTGCCATGCCTTGAAATATAAGTAAATTATATTTTTATAAATTTATGTACTCAATCCCCATATTTCGAAAAAAATTCCTGGGCTGAGCTGTTAATTAAAAATTATATATTTCAAGCAAAACAATGGCCGTTTGCAGTAGGTAGGTTTCGAACCTACGCTGCCATGGAGAATCTGATTTCTAGTCAGACGCCTTAACCGACAGACCAGGGCTAAATCTGTTGATGTGCCATGCCTTGAGATATAAGTAAATTATATTTTTATAAATTTATGTACTCAATCCCCATATTTGAAAAAAAATTCTGCGCTGAGCTGTTAACTAAAAATTATATATTTAAAAAAAAACAGTGGCCGTTTGCAGTAGGTAGGTTTCGAACCTACGCTGCCATAGAGAATTTGATTTCTAGTCAGACGCCTTAACCGACAGACCAGGGCTAAATCTGTTTGAAAGTCGAACTATTTCTGATGATGTGCCATGTGTTGAAATATAAGTCCATTATATATTTATAAATTTATGTACTCAATCCCCATATTTGAGAAAAATTTCTGGCTAGGTAGGTAGGTTTCGAAATTACGCTGCCATAGAGAATCTGATTTCTAGTAAGACGCCTTAACTGACAGTCCAGGGCTAAATCTGTTGGAAAGTAGAACTATTTCTGGTGATGTGCCATTTGAAATATAAGGGCATTATATTGTTTTAAATGTATGCACTCAATCCCCATAATTGACAAAATTTTCTGGACTGAGCTGCTAATTATAAAAATTATATTTCAAGCAAAACAAATGGTCGTTTGCAGTAGGTAGGTTTCGAACCTACGCTGCCATGGTGAATCTGATTTCTAGTCAGACGCCTTAACCGACAGACCAAGGCTAAATCTGTTTGAAAGTCGAACTATTTCTGGTGATGTGCCATGCGTTGAAATATAAGTCCATTATATTTTTATAAATTTATGTACTCAATCCCCATATTTAAGAAAAATTTCTGGGCTGAGCTGTTAATTAAAAAATATATATTTCAAGCAAAGCAATGGCCGTTTGCAGTAGGTAGGTTTCGAACCTACGATGCCATGGAGAATCTGATTTCTAGTCAGAAGCCGTGACCGACAGACCAGGGCTAAATCTGTTTCAAAGTCGAACTATTTCTGGTGATGTGCCATTTGAAATTTAAGGGCATTGTATTGTTTTAAATATATGCACTCAATCCCCATAATTGACAAAATTTTCTGGACTGAGCTGCTAATTACAAAAATTATATTTCAAGCAAAACAAATGGTCGTTTGCAGTAGGTAGGTTTCGAACCTACGCTGCCATGTTGAATCTGATTTCTAGTCAGACGCCTTAACGGACAGACCAAGGCTAAATCTGTTTGAAAGTCGAACTAATTCTGGTGATGTGCCATGCGTTGAAATGTAAGTAAATTATATTTTTATAAATTTATGTACTAAATCCCCATATTTGAGAAAAATTTCTGGGCTGATCTGTTAATTAAAAATTATATATTTCAAGCAAAACAATGGCCGTTTGCAGGAGGTAGGTTTCGAACCTACGCTGCCATGGAGAATCTGATTTCTAGTCAGACGCCTTAACCGACAGACCAAGGCTAAATCTGTTTGAAAGTCGATAATGTGCCATGCGTTGAAATATAAGTCCATTATATTTTTATAAATTTATGTACAAAATCCCCATATTTGAGAAAAATTTCTGGGCTGATCTGTTAATTAAAAATTATATATTTCAAGCAAAACAATGGCGGTTTGCAGTTTCGAAATTACGCTGCCATAGAGAATCTGATTTCTATTCAGACGCCTTAACTGACAGACCAGGGCTAAATCTGTTGGAAAGTAGAACTATTTCTGGTGATGTGCCATTTGAAATATAATGGCATTATATTGTTTTAAATGTATGCACTCAATCCCCATAATTGACAAAATTTTCTGGACTGAGCTGCTAATTACAAAAATTATATTTCAAGCAAAACAAATGGTCGTTTGCAGTGGGTAGGTTTCGAACCTACGCTGCCATGGTGAATCTGATTTCTAGTCAGACGCGTTAACCGACAGACCAAGGCTAAATCTGTTTGAAAGTCGAACTATTTCTGGTGATGTGCCATGCGTTGAAATATAAGTCCATTATATTTTTATAAATTTATGTACTCAATCCCCATATTTACAAGCGCGTGATGGGGCCCAGAAGCCACTTTAACGGGGGGAGGTTCTCGCCTTAATTAAAACCAACTGACCAACTTTTGGGGGGTTAGTCGTGGTGTTCCACTTGTGCCGTTGCTGCAGCTGGTGGAGGTATTCCCGATGCCATCTGTCCCAGAAGTGCTGATGCAACTACTGCACGAGCTGCCAACGAGTAAGTCTGTTAGTGTTCAGATTAGCTAAAGTGTCGTCGGGAGGGGCAGATAGGGGCTCCAGGGTCAGAAAATGCCCAGCTACATAATGGGCGGGAATTCAGTATGGATTCCACCTGAGTTAACACTGTCGACATTTCCTCGAAAGTCAGGATTTGAGAGCCTATCACACGAAACAAATGGGTCTTTACCGACTTGACGTCGGCCTCCCAAAGACCTCCAAAGTGAGGACTGGAGGGTGGGTTGAAGTGCCAGCGCACCTCACACTGTTCGGCGGACTGCTGGCAATACTGTACCAACAACCGGTTAGCACCGACAAAATTTCTAACCTGATCACTATACATGTCAGTGCAACGCCCGCGGCGAGCGACAAAGCGCCGAAAAGCGGCCAAGAATGCATCTGAGCTGAGTTCAGAAGCCAATTCCAAATGGATGGCTTTGGTAGCCATGCAAACCAATAGGCAAATGTAAGCCTTCTGAATCTTAGCGCCGCGCCTTCGCGAAAGGGTAATGGAAATTGGACCGGCGAAGTCGACACCGGTATGCGCGAATGGCTTGACTTGCGATACACGAACGGGGGGTAAATCAGCCATGAATGGCTGTACACAAGAAGGTTGGACACGGAAGCATCGGTAACACTGCGATAGGGTGTGACGAATTGCTCTGCGGGCGGACAAAATCCAGAATTGTTGTGAAATCTGGTACAACAACGATTGGGGGCCCGGGTGGCAATTTTCCTTATGGAACTTTTCGATCACGAGTTCGGTAAAGCGATGGTTTCGAGGTAGTAGAAGAGGATGTTTTGCGTCGAAAGACAACGCAGAACCTCGGAGTCTGCCACCGACTCGAATGAGACCGTGCTCGTCGATAAAGAGCGCTAGGGAGCGTAAAGGTTTGGGGCACAGTTTACCGTTTCGAAGACACTTCATCAAACCGGCGAACACCTCACGTTGGACGTATTCTGTGAGCAACGTGCGGGCGTGGTACGTGTCCGCAAAAGACAAATTATCAAGCGCTCGCTTGGGAATGGGGGTACGACAATTATTTAGAAACCTACAACAATAAGCCAGGATCCTCTCAATTTTTCGTAACGACGAGAAACGGGTTAACAGTTCTCCGAGCGAGTCAACTAAAGGGGTGGACACACATGTCAACACTGGTTTACGTTCCAGTTCCACATCGTCTCCGGGGGTGAAGTCGAAGGTGGGCCACTCTTCCACCGGAAGACGCAACCAAGGGGGACCACAGAACCAAGAGGAGTGAATTAATATTTGCTCGGCGAAAAGCCCTCGGGATGCGCAGTCAGCAGGGTTGGATGAACCGGCGACGTGATGCCAGGAACGGGGGGAAATGATGTCCTGAATGAGGGACACGCGATTGGCCACAAAAGTTTTCCATCTCTGGGGGGAGGACTTTATCCAAGACAACGCAATTTTGGAGTCACTCCAGGCGAATACTCTCGTGATAGTCAACTCAGAGGCCATACTGGATCGGACGAAATCTACGAGTTGGGCGAGCAGTAACGCTGAGCACAACTCCAGACGGGGGATCGACACTCGCTTCAAAGGCGCTACCCGATTCTTTGCACACAGAAGGGTGACAGAGATATGGCCCTTTCTGACGCTTCGCAGATACACGGCTGCACCGTATCCGCGCTCCGAAGCGTCACAAAATCCGTGCGCCTCCACCTGGACGCCATTGCTAGGCAGTACCCGACGAGGGATTGTCAGCCCAGAAAGACTGTCCAGCTGAGACGAAAACGAACTCCAATCTTCGAATATGTCGCGGGGGGGAGGTGCATCTCAATCGACGCCCTGGGACCAAAGCCTCTGTAGGAGAATTTTGGCAGTCAACACGACCGGGGATAAAAAATCTAGGGGATCGTATATTTGGACTACTTGCGACAAAATATTCCTTTTTGTGCACGTCCTATCCACTACTTGGATGCGGTAGGAGAACACATCCCGTAAGGAACACCACTGCAATCCCAACACCTTTAAACTGGGATTGTCGTCTCCGCATAGGGAAACGGGTTGATGATATGAAGCGGGGAGTGAACTCAATAACTCGGGGGAGTTGCTCGCCCATTTGCGCAACTCGAAACCACCCAATTTTAGCAGCGACACTAATTGATCCCTCAACTCACGGGCTTCCTCCAACGAGTCTGTTACTCCGATAATGTCGTCGATGTAGGTTTGGCAATCTAGGAGACGGGCTGCTAACGGGTAACGCGCTCCTTCGTCCCTAGCAAGCTGACGCAACACGCGAATAGCCAGGTATGGGCTACAACTTAGGCCATAGACCACCGTTGACAAGACGTACTCTCGCACTGCTTCGCGGGGATCAAAACGCCACAGAATCCGCTGGAAGAGGTGGTCGGCGTCACTCACTAGGATTTGACGATACATCTGACGAATATCGGTGGTGAAAACCACACGGTACAGTCGACAGATGAGCAAAATGGCTCCAATGTCGGGTTGGAGCTTGGGACCCGTAAATAGAAGATCGTTCAGAGACCGTCCGTTGGAAGTTTTGGCTGAAGCATCAAACACAACACGCAATTTAAGGGGTTCGCTATGTGGCTTGCAGACGATGTGATGAGGAATGTAGTAAACTTGGGGAGAGGGGGGCAGGTCGCTAACGAGTGCCATGTGACCTTGTTCTCAATAATCTCTCAAGAACTCGTTGTAGTCTAATCGCAAAGTTGGGTTCTTGGCCAAACGCGCCTCTAACAACTGGAATCGCCTAAGGGCTTGAGGGTAAGATTCACCAAGTGAAGGGTGTTTATCCTTAAAGGGTAAGGATACGACGTATCTACCTGAAGGGGCACGGGAATGGGTAGAGAGAAAGATCTCCTCACACAATTTGCCTTCAGGAGACATAAAGGTCTTTGAAGGGACGGACTCGAGTTCCCAAAATCTCTTCAAAGAAACATCAACAGCAGTACTCACAGTGGTATAAAAACTAAAGGGAGAAGATGGTTCTAAAAAATTCACTTTTCCTAGGACAACCCATCCGAAGATGGTCCGAAAAGCGCCTGGGCCACCGTTCTGTCCTTTTCTAAATCCAGGCAAACAAATATCTCCGTAAACCTCTGCCCCTAAAAGCACGTCTATTTCGTTGGGTTCACAGAAGTGGGGATCAGCCAAGGGTAGGGACCTGAGATGTTTTAGATTCTGCTTATCAATCACATGGTAGGGTACCTTATCACAAATAGATGGAATAACTAAAGCCTCTATATGGAGAGCAGGGGATTTTCTTTGGGAGGGGGTCACGCTCAGGGCAACCTTCCCTAACGCAGACGTCGACATTTGGTTGAGGGCTTGAATTGGTGTCGGAGAGAGAGACCTTGGAAGCTCCAATTTCTTCGCAAAGGAATCTGTCACAAAACTGGCTTGACTAGCTGAATCCAACAGTGCACGATAAGTAACAAGTCTGCCAGATTTATCCGAAACGGACACCAAGCAAGTGGCAAAGAGCACGACCTTTTGAGAGGAGAGATTGGTCATCATGGTCACCGGACTAGGGATAGTACCTTCCTGGTTGCCGGGAGCAGGGGGAGTTTCATTCGACGGGGAGGGGGTAGTAGCATTTCCAAAATGCACTAAAGTATGGTGGCGCTTGCCACATACACGACAATTAATCTTGGAGGGGCATCTTCCAACACCATGGGATCTCGCGAAGCAATTAAAGCACAGACGGTGTTGCTTGATGAACACATGCCTTTGAGGGGGCTCAAGAGATAGGAAGGAATCACACTCTGTCAGAGGATGGTAGTATAAACACTTACTGGTGCAACTCACATCAGCACTCGGAGGGGTAGACGTCGCTATCATAGATGTGGGTCTACGTGTATCGGTTGAAACTCGCTTCGAAACGTCAAGCCTCTTGGTAGGGGTAATACCTCTTGAGGTAACTAAAGAGTTTTCTAAAGCTTTACAATTCTGTTCCAAAAAATCACATAAATCTTGAAAAGTTGGGATATCTTTATCACAAAATTTGAGTTCGAACCTCGTCTTGAGAGTCGAGTCGAGTTTCTCTAAAAGCAAATTGAATTTTGTAAAATCCCACAAGTCGATATCGAATTTATCGATAGCTGCAAGATTCTCTGAAAATGTTGAAAGCAATCTCCTCAGTTCAACAACCGAGTCACTCTTCATAGTCGGAGCCCGAAAGATCGACAGCCAATAATCGGTTAACAACAATCGATCGTTTTGATAACGCTTCACGAGGGCATTGTAAGCTATACTATAATTGGCATCCTTAATTGGCAAGTTCTTCACGACACTGAGAGCATCCTTTTCCAAATAAGACACTAAAAATTGAAATTTTTCAATGTTTGAAAGGGAAGAATTATTATGGATCAACGTGTTAAACATATCAAAAAATGTAGGCCAATTTTTCAAATCGCCATCAAATTTCGGAATGATAATACGGGGGAGTCGGAGATTACTATTTCTTTGCGACTCTCGACCAACTACAGATGGTACCGGAGAGCCTACCTTAGGTTCCACTTTCTCAAATAATCGCTTGGCAATAGATCGAACTAAATAATGCAACTGATCAAAGTGATCTTGAACCGCAAACTGTCGATCTCTTTCCGAATCATTCGCTAAGGAGATTACTTCCAATTGCAAGGACTCAAAAGTGCTAACTAAACTCGGCAAATCCTCCACCATGCACTGGAATTTGCATAAAATTTCATCATCATCGGGTTCAACGCGAGCTTTCTGACCCGCTGACAATATATCGTTAAAGCGTCTAAGTGTTAAATCTCGCTTAGCAATAAATTTATCCATTTCCGACATTGTAAATCGTTTTGTAAACAAATGCACACCTAAGTCTCGAAACAAAGAACCCACGTAAATTAAAAGGAAGAAGAATTTGAACACGCAGAAAATATGCTTAGAACGAATCAAATAAAAAGACGGCCGCAATTCGAAACGACGGTAAACACTTTTTATGAAACCGCTTTTTTGCGCTCCAAACTTTACACGTTTTTTGCTAACCTGTTCACGATAGCGAACATGTATTTAAATTGCTAAAGTTTGTGAATGACTATAAAAATCCAAAAGACTGATTCTGATTTGGGGAGAAGGACCAATATGTAAAGGGTTGGGGGAAGGTGGTTGTAAATCACCCTCAAAATTTAAACGAGAAAGAGCGGCAAGAAAACGGTAGGACATACAACACCCGAAACGGTTAATCACCCACCTTAATGGTTTCCCGCGTCGTCGTCTGCCCGGCCGGGTCTTCTTAGGGGTATTTTCTGGAGGGTTGGGGTGGTAAGGACCACAACACAGCGCGGGGTTCTCGCGAACCGGTCACAGAAGAGAGCTTGGTTTTTCGTGGTTCGCACTACGGACGTTCACGCAAGTCTGTCTTTTCGCGCGGCTTAACCAAGGTTGGGTATGGTGGGGGTGTTGTATACACAGCGCGAAAATAAAAAGTTAACCCAAAACAAAAAAATTATGAAGTTACCGAAAAATGTTATTCAACCCTTAACAATATATATATATATATATATATATATATATATATATATATATATATATATATATATATATATATATATGATGACACTATATTCCGGGATATCGCTCGTTGAATCGCTGGAATCCTGCATCCGACTGGAATCCTGCAAATCCTGCATCCGACTGGAATCCTGCTGACGTTTCGCCAAAATCTCACTTGGCATCTTCAATGCTCGCGCTCCGAAAACACTTCGAACACTGGGAGGTTATCGGCGGTGCGTGCGGTATTTATACTCTGCGCCGGAGATGGTAACGGTGCTGCTTGTGCGTGGGGGGAGGTGGCTCCGCCCCCTGAATTGTCGCGTTGTTAATTTCGCCCGATCTTAGTTGCGATGTCCCCGTTGGCTGCTGCGCATCGCTCTGCTGTTTGATTATCGTTCTCCACGTGTTGGATAAATGCAGAGCGTCGTCTCTCGTATTGAGGTGTCCGGACTTTTCTATTTCGATGGACTCTCGTATAATCCTAGTCCTAAAATCAGGAATATTAGCTATTTGTTTGCAAGTGCCGAAATCAATTTTATGGCCTGTCTGATGTTGGTGCTGAAACAAAGCAGATGTTGTTTGTTTGTTTCTTATGGCTAAACGATGTTCCTCGAGCCTGGCTGAAATCCTTCTGTTGGTCTGTCCCACATACGTCAGGCTGCACGATCCGCATGCTACACTGTATACTCCTTGGTTTTCCAGATTAATTTTTTGTTTTGGGTTTCTTAGTATTGCTCCGATGGTATGGTCAGGTTTGTATGCCGTTGATATGTCGTGTTTCCGTAATATTCGGCCGATTTTGTCAGTAACCCCCTTGATGTATGGCAGGACAGCGATCGATCTTCGTTGGGTCTCGTCCTGCACTCTCTGCTGCGGCTGTTGTTGTTTACTGATTGCCTTGCTGATGGTGCGCCTTTGGTATCCGTTTTGTCGAAGACAGGTACTAATTTTCTTCAGTTCTTTATCTCTGTTCCTCTCGTTTGTGAGCCTGAAGGACCGAGCAATTAATGTATTTGCCACTGCTTGTATCTGTGATGGGTGGTGATGAGATTTAGCGTTCAGATATCTATAGACAGTGTGTTCCAGTGTCCATCTTCGGTCCTTGTGATGTGCACATCTAAAAAGGGCAGACTGTTATCCTCTTCAAGTTCTATTGTAAATTGAATCCTTGGGTGAATGGAATTCAGATGATCTAGGAATTTCAAAAGCTCCTCCTTGCCAAAAGACCATACAACAAATACGTCATCAACGTATCTTGTCCATAGTTTTGGCTTCAGATTTGCCTTCTCTATTGCTTTCTTTTCGAAGTAAATCATGAAGAGGTTGGCAATCACAGGTGAGAGAGATGATCCCATTGCTGCTCCATCTATTTGTCGGTAAATTTTCCCGTTGTGCATAAAGTAAGCGTTTTTCAGGCAATGTCTTGACAGATCCATTATGTATGGCGAAAGATCTTCGTTTTCTTCTATAAGCAAGAGTGCCTCTTCTACTGGAATACTGGGGTAGAGGGATTTGACATCGAAACTTGCCATAATGTCGTCCTTGTCCATCCTGAGAGAACCTAAAATCTGAGTGAAATGTTCTGAGTTTTTAACATAGGAATCTGCCTTTTCCACTATAGGCTGAAGTGCACTGGCCAGATGTTTTTCCAGCTTGCATAATGGTGAGTTAAAGGCGCTTACGATTGGACGCAGGGGAACCCCGTCCTTATGGATCTTTGGGAGCCCGTAGAATTTTGGGCAACGACTCGATTTTTCCCTCGGAATAAGTTTCTTCTTTGTATCCTCGTTTATTGATGAATCGAGAATTTTGGACTTAGTTGTTTTTTCCAAATATGTCGGCGGAATTAAAAATTGATAGCGTCGATCTTAGGGTCAAGCACATATATCCAAACGACGAAATCAAATTGGCTCTGCTGAAATCGATTAGATTAGATCAACCCATATTGATACCCTATTGACGATGGGAACTTCATGAATATCCTGCCCTAACCGCGGGATCTACAAAATAAATTTGGTCTGTCAAGATGTGCGCGGCTATCGAAAGCCCCCGATACGTAATAGTCGCTTTTCAAACAAATCGATGACAATGACAATGAAGCGAAAAATGCTACGATTTTCGATCACGTCGACGTAACGGCTATAAGATTAACACTAAACGGAGAATATTACCTTCACGAACGTTTACGATTATATTTTGAAAAGAATGACTTCGTTGAAGCGCATCACAATTATACGGATTTCTACCCCAGTTATAATGGATGTGAGGAAAAAACTGCGTTGCTTGACTATATAGCTTTCAAAAACTGCGCGGTTTTCGTCATCGACTGTTCTCGAAGAAACGACAGTGTAAAATCCAGCACTGTCGACGTAAAGTTAGACATCGAAGCAAAAAAGGGATTTCCCGCGAATACACGTGCCTATTGCGTCATCATTCACGATTGTATCGTGGAACAACTACCGCTCAGCGAGATTGTTCGAAATCTAACATAAATACCGCCGGATGAACCTAATCTTAACAGTCATATTAAAAATGCGCATCGTTGCGGTAGATATTCAAGGCTTCCAGTTAGAAGATGGATTTGTCGTCAAAGAAATGACTGTTTACAATGTCAAATTAGTCATTACGTTTTGAAACCGCCTCGTGAATATTGCACGTTGACCAGTGCAGAAAAAAGAACGGTACGCTGGCTCGAACAATATCATCACGGTCTCAAATACAGCTCTGGTTTTGTTCAATATTCCGACATTGATACGTTGATCGCACTACTGATAGAAAATGCTGACTTGAGAGGAAGATCAAAAATGGAATTTTTAATGTCGAAAATTGATCGGGCGGATGTCGCGTGCAGAGTCATTAACGTGGAGAAATTCGACGATGATAATTGGTTGAATCCTCCGAAATTTCAACCGGATCACGCCCATTGCATGTTTCACTCCGGAGGAAGACTGAGAGAGAAGAAGATTGATTGTATTCAAGGATCCCTGTATGAAATAAAACTTTTTTTTTATTTAAATAAGACTTTTTATTTCAATTCAAAAAATTAATAATACATTTACACGTAAAAATAAAGCACGCTAATGCTATGATATGAATACAAACTGCGAAACTGTAATCTATTGAAGTATAATTCTTTTTTCGTTCCATTTCTCGAGTAGTATTCTGCGTCATCGCACTCAAAATAGCGACTAAAAGCGTTTGGTTCATCACTTGTCTTTGTTATTTTACCTATAAAAGATTAGCTAGGAACCGAATATATTTTAGTATTTTACTGACCTTGAACGAGATGAGAGCCCACGCTGTCTTTACTACTCGTTCGGACGTGTCTGCGATAGTCGCCGCGCTGCCCGAGGAAGGTGTGATTGAATATTTACAAAAATTCGGTTTCCTTTCACCTAACGACAACGAATCTTTAACGCAGATCAATGCGTCGAGTCTGCAACATGCCCTAATGGATTTTCAGGATTTCTATAATTTACCGGTTGATGGTACCCTTAATAACGAAACCGTCGAACTAATAAATAAACCCCGATGTGGTGTAATAGAAAATGCCTTCACGACTGTTTCGCGATGGCAGAAAACGGATTTAAATTGGTATATTCAAGTACCGCCCAGTCACTATCAAGAGTTGAAAGTGCTGGCAG